CGGCCCCCGCCTCCTCCGCCTCTGTCCCGAGCAGCCTTCCCGGGGCCGACACCGAGCGCCATGAACCGCGTTTCGTGCTGCTCCGCTAAAAGTGTGTCGCCGTGTCCTTTCGAAGGCTAGATACCGCGATGTAAACAGAATAAGTGACTGTCGTCTCGGAAGCAAGCGAAGGCAGCGAAGAGCGAGGGGTGTAATTGCAATTCGTGGCAAGATTGTGCGAGGATCTGAAACGCGCCTTGCGCAGATGCGGATCCTGATATAGAAAATGTTGTGCCATAAATGGGAATTTATACTGGGGGGGAGGTTTGTTTATTGAACCTCTAGTTAGGTAAGACAAAATTAGAATTACTACTAGGATTAATAACAATAATACAATGCTCAGCATTGACGAATAAACGGCTACCATACTCCGGGCTTTGAGCACTTTCCCTGTGGGCTCCTTGTTACTTCCGAGAAGGGTGTAGAGAGAGGCTCCAAAATGCGCTGTATTTCTTGCACTTGCTGAATAATTAATATGTCTTAGAATATGACAGTTTTCATGTTTCATTCAGAATGCTCTGTTGATACTTTGGGTACCATGACAAGTGTAGGCATAGTACAGACTCTTGATTTTCTCATCCCTCTGTCGTCTGTCATTCCATCCTCATGCATGTGTACTTAGAAAGGGGAGTTGTGCAGAACAATGAGTAGGCTTATCCTCTTTTAAAAAGGCTGTTTTAAATACACGCAGGAATTTTGTGACTTCTTGGCAAATTTTCATGGGTGAAGTTAGTTTTCACGTTGCATATATTTTAACAGTGATTAACGACGATGTAGGAAGTCTTCAAACTAGTTAGTTCTCTACAATTTCCTAGCATGAAGGGCTAGCATTTTACTATGTCACTAAGCCAAAAAGACATCTTTTACCCTGAAGAATGTACTAAAGAAATTGTATTGAGATTTGAATGATTATGTTTATAAAAATGTAGAAACTTGCTAAATGGAAACATTTATAGGAAAAAGACTTAAATAGTAATGAGGTGTATTCCAGTCCTGCGTATAGTATTAGGCCAGACACTTATTTTTATAATCATCTGCATTTATATAGATTATACTGTACTATTTTATACAATCTAATATTGTATGTGTATGATGTATGTATCATATCATACATATTTAAATGGATTCTCAAAGTTACATAAATGTGTTAACCACACAAATGATATGCGTGTACATGAGTGTATAAAGAAGTTAAATAAGAGATTAAAAAAAAGTGTATATTCTTCTTCCCGATCAACTAATTTTAAATTACCTGTCTTCCTGATAATTGTAAATTAAGATAAAATTGACATATTATATGTACTGCTTTGTTAATTCAGTCATGGATGTATTCAGTGTTACACCAAAATGTTCCATATACATTGAGAGAGTCTATTAGTGTTGGGGATGTTTTTTGTGCTTCTTACACATTAAGTCTTTGCAAAATTGATGAAGAATTTGAAATCTTTTTTTAGTGAATTTGATTTTTCCATTTCCTCTGCTTATTTGTAGTGTTTTCTAATACTTCCTTGTATTCTGTAGGATGCACATCCTGTATTGCATCTCATCCAGCTGTGTTCGGTCTTTTGCAAAGAAAAACAGAAAAGGAATATAATACAACTGAACAAAAATACTCAAGCTAAATGGACTACAATCCTCAGATTTGGTAACAAAGCCTCTGAGAGAAGAAAAAAGAAAAAAGGTAGGGGAAAAAAATGGAACTGGGAATTTCATTCGTATCAATGTGGTACTGGTCAGGCACCACCAAAAGAAATGGTTAATGAGGAAAGAACAATGTGATCTGAGATTGTCTCTGTCTATTTTGCCTTTTTTCTCCTAACTCAAAGTCTGTAGGCCAGATTCTGTCTTTTATTTTTAGTGTAGTTTCAATGATTTTCTTGACATTACCAAGTTTCCCTATGCTGGTACTAACTTCATACCAGCTGAACTTCTCTACATTCAATTGCAAAGTTCTAGCCAGACTTTGGAGAACTACTTAAATAATTTCATCCTCCTTAAAATTGACTAAATCTATCTTCACCACAACTCAATCTGAAATCGTGGCACAAGAAATAGAGGATGAATTCTAGGGCTACACAAGCATAAGTAAGGAAATGAGCATAATTCAAAAGTTGTTGAAAAGTTCTATTTTCACAAATTTTCTTCTTGCAGGATTCACCCATTCTTTCTTTCTGACTTTGTGCAGGGCCGAAGTGAAATTTCAATAGTTTCAAAAAGCTGTTGAGGGTTAACCTCGGACACAGTTTCTATAAATGATGTTGAGCGTTGATTCTGTCCACAGAGCAATCCTTAAAACTGGTTTTGAAAAAAACCCAAAGCCTTCAACTCTGTTTTACAGTAGCAAAAGAAGAAATTAGATTTAAGTAACAAAAGAACATCTTCTAAACCCTGAATTTTTTTGTCTTAATCTAAGAAATCCCTAAGTAGTTTTTATTCATGCACAAGATTTTCTCAGAAATACGTAGTACACATTTTTGTGCTATTTTTGTCAATTTTTTAGTATAATTTTAAATATAAAATTCAGTGGCTTTGTGACATTTCACCTGTAAGTCATGTATGTGCAATAAATCATTATATCAGACTTTGCATTTAGTTATGCAGATGTAATGGCACTTACATTCCAAATCTGGACCAGAGGTGAATTTTCCATACACTGTCAATTTCAGATGATCTGGTGCATTTATAAGTCAGAGTATCTGTATCATAGTAAATAAATATTATTGGTTCATAAGGAAATTGTAGAGAATTGGGACTGGCTTGTTTGAAAAGCATGCTCATATAAAAAGTTCTTTTTCTAGTTAAAATGCCAGCTTGGTTTTGGGTTTTTAAAAACTATTTTAGTTAACACAAATCAAAAATAGTGCCATAAAGCTTCACATTTTAAAGTCTTTACTTATATCAGAATGGTAATAAAAATTCACTGTCAAGTTTTCTCTAGGGAGATTTAAAGTTGTACTGTGCTAAATAGATACATAGATCATATTTTCCAAATCTATGACTTCTCAATACACTTTGAGAAACACTGTACGGAAATCGAGGTAGGACTGTGTGTCATCTTGCATTTAATGGAAATGAAATACATTCAATAGAACAGCACAAATTAAATTCACATTAAATATACAGTGAACATAAAATGCCTTTGCCTTTCCCGAGAAGCTGCAGCAGAGTTGTAGAGGGTCGAAAACATGCTGCATTTGGGTCCTGTGAGATTGCTTCCCCTGATAAACCTGAATTTGGAAACTGCTTTACTGAGGAACAAGAGCTGTTGGAGAGCATGCTGTCTCTTTGTTGATTGTTCTTCAGAGTCTGTTAGTGTATCACATTGTGCTGTGGACCTTCCCCTGGGAAGCTGGAGCAGGACAAGCCAGTGCCATCATCCTGTGATAGCATCTGGAGATATTCTGAAAGGAGATAATTTGCCTTTCTCACCCATGAATTAAAGGAGTGTCTTTGAGTTCGGGTGCAAAAACAAGTATCTGCATATATAAGCTCCTTGTTGACTTCAATTCTTTGTAAGATTTAAAGCTTCGATTTTCCTAGAATATTTGTCATACTAAAAAATGTGCACAGAAGAGCCTGACCATAAGGGCAGCTAATTCGTATTTTAGTTAATTAGTTGTAAGTGACAGATAAACTCTAGCAATATGCTCCAGTGAGGTTAGTATCTTCCTGTTCTTATTCAGCACAAGTGACATCCAATCACTTCCATCTGTGACAGTCCTAGATTCTTCTTTCAGCCCAGCTGAGGTGAAAAATCAGACCCAGTAGATTTCCTGTTTCCATATATTACCTCCTCTTACAGTCAGTCTCAATCTCTCAATTTCCTTCTGTGAAAGAGCATGAAAGCATCTCTTCTCTCAATCTCCCTTCTGTGTTAGAAGGTAGGAGGGGAAAGGATAAAAGAACAGATGCAATAACCCTTATTTAGTTCTGAAAGAGAAACTACAGATTGCAATGGCAGGAGTTCCAGTGCTTTCACCTCTAGATCCAGGAAGTGTAGTGATGTGGAGCATCACTACTGACAGGAAAGCTGCCAAAGTGTATGGGAGAAGGTGTTCCTTGAAGTAGAATAATTTTAAGAATTGCATCTCTCAGGACTACAACCCTCTGCAGATTTCCCTCTTTGTCATCTTGCACGTATTCTCATACTCTGTCAAGTTTCTATGCAGATATACTGCCTCTTCTGTCCTGTCTGTGGATTTACCTCTCCCCAAAACTGATCTCTCATTATCAAGTAATTATTAGTAACTATTAAAGTAAACCAGATTTCTGACAAGTAATACACATACTAATTTGTGGAAGCTTGTTTTGTCCTGAGATACTTGATGCTTGCCAGATACACTAAATCACAAGACCTTGCATATTTTATCTCCTTTAAATATGAAATTACATGTGATAGTATGTTTCATGGGTAAGTAATGATTTATTCAGAATGTGTTTCCTTTTGGCTTGAATTTGCCAACTGTAGTTTCAGGATGTGATTTCTTTAGTATTTACCATAGTGTGACAAAGGTTAATAGAAGTACCTAATAAACTGTCTTTATACAGTCAATTCTGGTTTGTCTAGAGTAATAATCTTCTAATACAATTGCAGGGATGATGTAAATCCTCTGTAAAATTAAGCTACATGGTTGTATAATGAAGAAAAAAGGCTTTGCTGTAGTAGACCCTAAAGGGCAAGCTAACTCCTGCCTGGATCAGTAAGTACAACAAATATAAACCACAGTATTTCAGTATTGCCTCTAGTCCCCTTTTGTCCTTCATCCAACCAGATTAGCTATCTCTATCCTGTGCACCATAAATGGATAATTACACCCACACACCACTGAATAGGTTTATTTTTTTTCTTTTAATTAATATAATTTTACATGCATTTGCCAAGCAAATTCTTAGTTGTTTCCCATCTAAGGCCTCAGTTCAGATAATGTTTTCCTCGTGTAAGTGGTTCCATTGATCTAGATGAGAGTTAGGTGATACTCCAGCTGAATGAGAGTGACACTTAACACTAAGTATCATTCAGACTCTTTCAGGTGAAAAGCACCTAATTTCAAGAAATACTTTATTTTTCCTTTTACACATGTTTTTTTCTTGAGAAGCTGATTTGAACTGTAGCGATAAAAAGAGCTAAATGGTGCAGTGGGGTGTGGTTTCTTATACATCAATTTTTTGTGTGTTCCTTCTTTCTCACGAATAATATGGCAGCTGTCTACTGTCATTGTGTTGCCCAGTTGCTTAGAGTTTCTAATCCAGTGAATAACCTTTCTTAATTCTGGCTACCCTGAATAATCTTTTGCTACATTGTTGTCTACAACTTAATCTGATAGGTAACAAATATATTTTCTACTCATAGCACATATCTTGGAGCATCCTATATTTTCCTTTGGTTTATGATTAAATTAACCATTTATTTTCTACTACACTTTGTTTTCTATCTCATAGCTAGACTGCAATTTTAGACAGGTGTCTAAATTGCACACTGTATTTTTGTTTTAACCGTCCTCTTTGGGTAGACTAAAAAGACTAGCTTGTATCAATTTATTTTAAACTTTATTTTTTCCCTTCTAATAGTACAATTCAAAACATTACAGTAATCTGTGATACATGAATTAATAACATCTTCTATTGTGACACATGAATTAACATGTTCTATTCCACTTCACCTTTAAATTTTGTTCTTTATTTAATTTTCAAATATAACCAAATATTTAAATAATGTTACAGGAAAGGAAATTAATTAATATATCTGGCAGATTTAACCTTAACACCAAAGAATTCAGATTTATGCTGTCTGTGAGGTAATATGATTTCATATTTCTTTCACTTATTTCACCTGTACAGTACCAGAAAAATTTCTATAACAGGTGTGTTACTCTAGTAAGTCCCACAGTAAGAAATCAACCTACCTAAGTGAACTAACAGTATTAAGATTATGAAAAAAAAAAAGAAAAGGTAGTCTACCAGACCCAGGCCAAGGATATTTTAGAATAAATCTGCCTCCTGAATTCCAGCAGAAAAGATCTATGCTTCTTTTTCTTTCTTCATTGTTAGCATATATCTTCCTAATCATCCCATATGGGTTGTGGGAGTTTGTTTTTCCCCCAAATGGTCACAGGCTTGTCAATGAATATTGCTACACAACAAACAAACAAACAAACAAACAAACAGTAATACCAAAACAAAACCACCCAAAAAATTTGACATTGAGTGTCTCTTAAGATTTACAGTCAAAGGACATGGCAGGCTGAAAGAGTATTAAGTCACCTTTGTGTCCTTCTTATTTGGTAAGCTGAATATGCCCTCAATGTACTCTGAAATGCTCTGAGGTCCTGTAAAATTATGGTACACTTCTAAAGCTGGCTGGTGCACTGCAGGGCCAGTTTCAGCCTTTTCTGTCTTGAGCCCTGTCCCACACCACTCTTCCTTCCCCCAGCCTGCCCTTAGCTTTGCCCTGCACTGTGATTTGCAAGTCAGTGCTCTGAAGGTTTCCTTGCGACATGCCTATGCAAAGGCTTTCCCCTCGCAGAGAAAAACAGGGAGGCTTTACTGCTATTCCAGCCTCTTTGTCCTGCCATATAATGTGCCTTGCATATAACCAGCTGTAGCACAATTAAACTAGATTTTAGGTGCTTAATCAGGCTAAGCAAAATACCCTAGTTTGTCACATTCCTTCCTGCTGAAATCAGAACATAGCTTTAAGTCTGCACTGCCTCTACTGTACCTGTTAGTAACTGCTGGCAGCTGGTGAGAGCTTCATCTGAATTTGGATTCACTAGGAGATTATTTAAGATACTTTTCTTTCAAAACAAGTACTGTACCGTATCTGTTCATACTGAGACTTTTCAGTACATTTATTTGTCAAATATGCATATGTATGTGACTACATGCATAATTTCCTCATAAATTCAGAAGTCTTAGATAAATGGAATGTAGGGGTAATACAGCTTCATGCACGAAACACTGTTTACAGAGGGCCAGTCTCTTATCTCCTGTGAATTGACATAATTGCAACAACATTATGCTAGTTGGGGCTTTTTGGCAAGAATTCATGACAGTTACATAATTCATTACAGCCTATTCTAACCTACTGAAATCTATGCATATTTTTAGGCGTAGCTTGTACATTCTCACTGATTTCTGCTGTGAATTCCCTTTTGATGTGCCCTCAGGCTCCCCCTGGGTATGTCACTGTGTCACTTCGAGAGTCACTGTTGCAATTCTTCCACCTATACAATTCTCATAGAAGTCAGTGCAGTCTTTAGATGCACATATGTAATAGGGCTGGATGTTGGTCAAAGCACAGTGGGTCCTGAGCTCTCTTAACAGTCCTCCACACACGCTTCAAATGACCAGGTGTCATGAGCCTGAGCCTTACCTGATATGGACCCCTGGACTTAGTGCTTTTAAGATTTCTATGTACTAGGCTATCTAACTTATGACAAGTTACACCACTTAAAGCTTTCAAAAGTTGTTTATCTGGATATTATAAAAAATTTATCAAGTATCTGGATAATATTAAATTTTAAAAGGAACAAAAATTCTGCATTCTTTTGTGAGGATGGAGAGGTCTTTCTCCACCTCTTCCCCTATGAGCTTTCCACCTGATTTTTCTAGGAAGCTGAGAGTTGTGCCTGAGGAAGTTTGACTTGGAGTTGAGACAGTAACCTACAGTCAGATGGGAGATTTTTGAACTGTCTTCTTCTGCACATCCTCACTGAGCTATGCCTATCCTCAGCAAACATCCTCTTTCACCTGAGGGCACAGCAGATCTACCTGACAGCTCTCCCGCTGTTCTGGGACTGTTTCAAGACTGCTGGAGGAATGAGAGGAGTGAGGGAAGATTAAGTGTACAGCTTGCCTCCTCCTCTGCCCTGCTGAACTAGAGAGAGGGGCAACTCAGGGAAGCGGAGTAGCAGAAGACACAAAAAGGGGAGACTGCTGTGCTGTGCAGGGGATGTGCTGGGTTATCACTGTGAGGACTGTCATAGTCACTTAACAGTTTTGTTGCTGTTTGGTGCAATTGCTGATGATGCCATCGAGTATGCTGTATTATCTTTTTTGCCTCACCTTCAGTTTTGCTGTTCATAGGGAATTATACAGTTCTCAGAAAGATGTTGCTTTGATTTCAAAAGGTGTCTGTCTATATCCAAATGATGAAAAGCCAGAAGAGTTCACATAGGGGCTAAAATAACAAGATTGTTTTAAAACTACCATTTGATTATGGGTTTTTTTGCTGTTACATCTCTGTAGCATGCAGATATGTGTGATAACCCTGCTTCACTGACAGTTAGATCAGATTAATCAGGCTGCTTCTTTAACTGCTTCTCTTTACCTTCAACTACATACTGTCCAAAGGAATTCCACATAATTCTGACCAGTGAGGAGACAGCTTTGCTTGGCTACATTTTGTTTTGCTATATGGAAAGAATTTACTTAGTTTACATCAAAGTTACACCTAACTTCAGTGACAGGTAAGATTGGTGTGTAGCAGTGTGAACTGATATAAAACTCTGGAACCTGGCTCTTAACACAGCTCAGAAAAGCAAATCTCATAGTATAGCTCACAGAATTGCTACAAAGGAAATAAATGAATGAAAACTGCATGATTAAATGCTTTCATCTGGAAATTTTGGTGCAATATTCAGAAACTCTACAAATTCTTCTAATTCATCATACTCTTTGTTTATTACTAATAAATTATTGTGCTGATGGAAGGAATTCATTACCCTTTCTACACACTTCACTAGTTGCAGGTCATTTATTAATCTGTGTTATCTGGTAAGACTAAAACCAGCTGTAATTACATTGTTAAACATTGATTAATAAGCAGCCCACATCACTAATATACTCAAGAAGCAAGATAAAAAATCTTTTTAAAGATTTAGAATAAAATTTGAACATTCCTTTGGGAATAAGGAAATCTGGATCTTCATAAATATTCATTTTTGTAAAATTCCATTTGCTTGCACAGCTGTATTTTTGAACACCTTTTGGAAACAGATTAACAAGCAAATTCAATTACACTAGAGTAAACGAACTGCATTCACAAAGTGGTATTAATGCACTAAGTGAAACATTTAGAATGAAACATTTTTTTTAAACAGTCTTCAGCTAACCATACATTTTTTTTATCATTCTTAATTTAATCATATCATTAGGCATACATTTGTTTTAAATCCATTTGTATTTCACAGATTCTAAAACAATATTGCAATTAGAAATACATTATTAAAAACACTGCAGATTCCTAGACCTTGCTTTTGTAGGTTTTCAATAAAATCACTTTGATTGAAGTGACACAGATGAAATTATTACTTGTCATAAGCTTGGATTATCATTAAGGGTAAATAAGCAGAGTGTCTCTGGCACTTGACGAAATTGGGGAACTGATTTTTATGATATAGCTTTATGGGGAATGAATCCAATGGAAAGAAGATGCTTTTAGAAAAGATGTTTTAAGACTATCCTCAATTAATCATAAATGACAAATCTCATTATAGCAGCACTATTGTTAAGGGTCTGTCAGTATTTCCATTACAAACCTGTATTTCAAAGATTTATAAATGTGCTACAGAAATTAACTCTGGGATGAAATTTGCTGTTAACACTGTTCACTATAGGATTATACTTTCCTCACAAAACTTTAGGAAAATCTATTTTAGCTTTTTCAGTTGGTCAGCTTCAAAAGAAACAGAAATGAGAAGTTCTGTTGATGACTATTTTTGTTCGCATAATTTTTAAAAAGGACATAAATTAATAGATCAGGAGAACTATAATTCTATAGCGTAAAGGATTGATCTTGCCTTTTTTCCCTTTTTGTCCCTGAAAGAATCACCCACTTTAGTGTGAGTTCAGCTTGTAATAGGGCTGCAATAAGACTGCTGAAATTCTTTGCTCAGTCTTCTAATCCTTTTAGGTTATGTCATTAAATTTCATTACTAATCAGCATTGAGACCTGTTTTCTAGCTCATCCAAATTTGTGCTAGTCCAGAACATGTTTGGTCACTGGGATTTCATAGGACTTTGAAGCAGAGCCTACTATTTCTGCAGAGCTGATTCACTAGGGTGCAAAAATAAGTATTGCTAGAAAGTTCAACAAGTGTAAAGGCCAGTAGTACTGTGGTTCTTCGGTATATGACTCAGGAAGGTAGAGGTCCTGTCAGGCTTTTGAAGCCTCTGAGAGGAATGGGGTGAATTCCTTAAGGACATTTTGAAGAGGACCAGAACCATGTTTTGAGATCTCTAAGTACATTCTCTGTACTCAAGGATGTTAGAGGTGATGCATTCATTCTTTCGTACTGTCCCGTACTTGGGAGAGATGATTACCCACATACATATGTCCAGAAAGGTGGTAAGTGTCCCATTCCTAGCAACATTCAATTCCATGTTGGATAAGGCTCTGAGCAACCTGGTTTAGTTAAAGATGTATAGCAAGGGGCTTGACTAGATGGCCTTTAAATGTCACTTCCAACCCAAACTGTTGTATGATTTTATGATATTGAGATGATGATAAGGAGATCCTGTTTTCTGGCGTCTGGCAGTGATTTCTTACCTACTTTGGCCAAATCTGTCTTGGTAAGCCATGTCTGTGCATGTTGTCTCACACTGGTGGCCTGGTAGTGGAGTTTCTGTATCCCACTCCTCAACTGTTTGAGCCACCAAATCAGGTACCCACTTCCAGGCTCCCCATGGGGAATTTCATCTTCCCATGCCTAGGAATCATTTAGGACAGTATTAGCTGACCTGGACACGTTCTGCTCTAACAGCACAAATAGTTGATGTTTGGCAACACTGCACACTGTTCTTTTATTTACTAGTGCACATAGATATTTTGAGGTTATTCAAACTGACAAGAGAGCTAGAGGTTGGTTTGGACAGAACTGAAATATGTAATCAAGGTGAAGCTTGCCAGTTCCAAATGGGAGAATCCAGCTTGAGAGAGCCAAACCTTCAAGCTGACAAAGATTGTGTTACCTCTAGAGCTGGTAGCCTTGAATGACCAGTGTATAGATCTATGCTGATACCTGCACATCATATATGTAACAATTCCTGGTTTATAAGGGGGCATAGGCTATGTTCCTGAAGAGACACAGTATTTGGCTGGCTGTCCTGGGTGTGCTCTTTCATAAGATAAAAATAAGATACTCTTTTATCCACTATTGCTGAAAAGTTGTTTTCTTAATAGTAGCCTTGGAATAGGCACGCACTGAAGATCCTGCTACCTGGCAAATCAACCTGCAAATGAACCTGCCAGTTGCCACAGGGGAACCTTGCAGTGACTGAACAAGAGGCTGGCATGTGTCATCTATGTGTACAACCAGACAGCAAGTGTCTCCATTAACCACAACTCTCAATTCATCTTAGGTGGCAAACTTGACTACAGCCAAAACTCAAGCTGAATTTCCAAGGAACTAGATTTGAATAAGTAGATTGAAAAAGAAAACAAAGTTCATGGAAGGAAGATATTCAATATGCAGTGGCAAGTTTATTGATGACATGGTTATTGTGCTGAAAATGACAAATCTGTTGTTTGTGTAGAAGACAGAATTTATGAACAACAAATTGCATGATCTTTTGTTTTACTCTATTTAGAAAACAGCATTTATGATAGTTTAAATCTAGGCTGATGGCTTGATTAATTTAGACAGTTGATGCTTAAGGTATTGTGGAGAAAAAAACCTTTCTGTTTTATTCAGGAATAAGTTACCTCATATTTCAGGTGGAGAGTAATTATGTTGTGTCACTTTTTACCCATTTGCTGTTTGTCTTTATACAATGTTTGCCATGCTGAGGACAGTAGAAGCTTGCTAAAATATGGTGTGATCTTCTAAGTGTATAAAAACAAATTTGAAAAGGGACGAAACCAAAGCAAATGGTAATAAAGGGAAGTGCATTTAGTGAACAGACAAATAAGTATTTAACGAAACTTTCTTTTAAATGTATTTTCTTTCCCAGGTATTTAAACAGTGGTATTTTATTTAAAAAATAAACTTACTGAACATCTGTAAATGTTAGAATGTGCTACAGGTCTCTCTGCAGTATGCAGTGGTCTCTTCTGCATTTTGGTGTGGTATAACCAGAATTAATGTGGCCAAACAGTGAATTTTCACAGAGATTCATGGGTAAGTCTATGCTAACTTGTGATTGCTGATGATTTTTGAGACTGAAAGATGTGATATGTGAAAAATGTAAAGGTTATTTGTGCAGATAGTTACTGTTTTAAAAAGTTCCATATATTTTAACACATATAAGTATTTCTAAAAAAAGAGGATTATTTCCATTTATTCCATTGTATCTGTGTCTGTTATGGACTAGAATCTCTATTGTAGGACTTAAAAAAACGCCCACATACTGACAATAGAAATAACTTCATAACATGCATGAGGATCACAGACATCACTTCTGGCCTAAAATATATTGATCTATCCAGACTTTAACAAAAGCAGTCAGTGATTCATTACTCAAAACATATCTAAATGTTTGAGAACTATTGTTAACCAATAGCCTAATCAACAAAAAATGAAGAGGAGTTACTGAGCAGTGTTCATTCTAAGCATTGCATCTGCTTAATGATTCACATGCAAATGTTATCAAAAAGGTCCTTTAGCTCGCTCTTTCTCTGCAGAGTTCATTTGAATATGCTGCATTTGAATTATTCTTTTTTGATTAGCCTAGCTCGACTGAAGGTGTATATTGCACAGTGGTAGCATGTGAGTGCTCAGGGCTGGCCCAGTGCTTGGTGTACGCAGCAGGAAGTCTTTGGGGCCAGAAGCATAAGCACAAACAAAATATTGGTGGAAAAAATCCTTCTTTCTTATGGATATACAGAAAAAATTACAAGACCCTGGAGACTGAGCAGAGAACCACATCTGACTATGTTGTCCCTAGCCTGCTTGTATGAGTAGCTGCTGAGCTGTGTTTCTTTAACTCTTTACCTGTATTATTTCTCATGCTTGCAGCCTAAAACTGAAAGCCTCTGTGTAGGCATGTTAAAGGATTTCTTGCTATGAATAGGACAGAAGTTAGGAGAAGAACTGGAATTGAGGCAGTCCCATAGCATACCTTGGGATGATTGGAAAGCATGATATCACCTTACAGGAATGTGTGGTGTGAGCTGATTTTGATGCGCAATCAGCAGGCAGTGCATGCCTTGCCACTCTTCTCCCATATGCACACTTGTGCCTTCTGTGGGTACAGTGCTGTACCATGCAGGCTGAAGGCAGTTTAGTCAAGAGAGAAGCTCTGATGTGCCTTTGAGGAAAATACAGAAGATTCTCCAATTGTGCCTTCTGTTGTATATTTTGAACAAGCATGCTGAAATCGCCACAGCTTTTAGGTGAGTTTCACCAGCCAAGTGATGTAACTGGAAATGTTATGGTATAAATTCTGCCAGTTTGGTTGTCTCACTCTGTTTTTTTCTACTAAAATCATAGCCTACCCTCTGTAACAGATCATGGGACCTAAGCACAAACATGTGTTTTGCATCTTACAGTGGAATATTTGTAGGGAACCTGGTAGTCTGCAGGATTTTCTGTGTCCAAAGGCACCTGACTGATAGTTGTGCAATAAAATGAAGATTGTACTTAATGTACAAAAAAAAAAAAGTAGATTGTACTGAAAAATCTGTATGTTTTGTTTTCCTACAGGAAAATCCCAAAAGAAAAATGAAAATACTTTTCTATTTGAAGGTTTTTGGTGGTGGTGGAATTTTATTTCCTTTCAAAGAGAAATAAGAAAAATTAAGGCGGATTTCTGTTTTCAGAGAAATACCTTAGTTAGAAAATGTTTATCTGCTTATTCATTAATTTTAATAAAGAGGGTTTGTTTAAAAAAAATCCTTCAACCAACTGTAATTATATATTGAACATTAATATGAGGAATATACTGCAAAAACCTGCTAAACGGCTATGAAGATGATTTAAAGAGTGAGACAACATCACGAAATATAAATGTCGCTTTTAGATGCGACAGAAAGCAAACAAAAACTACATCCACACAAATAAATAAAAGAGGCCACGTGCTTGGTGTACGCAAACTGCTGTTTGCATTTCCTCCCTTCTAAAACAGATACTGTAACCAGTCCTGCTGCCTTGTCCCCCATCTGAGCTGGTGCTGGCCACTCCAGGCAGTTCCTTCTCTGAGCCTCTGCTTGCATTACAAGTGTGGGTGGAATAGACTATAGATGGTCACAGGTCCCTGTTTAGAGCCATGCCCTGCTCATGCTTAGTTCCTTAGTGAAAATGTACTTTGTACTCTCTACAAAGAGAGTAGTTTTCTGCAAAAATTTTGGCTGCAGTTTAGTGTACCTGCTGGGCTTGATCCTCAGGGACTACAGAGTTTTTTCACATGTGGGAGAGCCTTATAACAGATGAGCAAAGCACAAGGAAAATCTTTTGGCCTGAAATAAGAGTGGACTTTTATGTTTTAGATGATAATTTTTAACAGAGTGAATCACCACCATGTCATCAAGAATATAGCAAAAACGCATGAGAAAACTCTGTCAATAAAATGCTATTTCCATGGACTATTTTGTATGATTGCAAATTCCATTTGCTGTAATAAGTTGCAAATGTAATTTATTACAAGTTAAAATCGGGACTGAGACAAGTCATTAAAAATGTATAATATACAAAATTTTGTTTCTCCTTATGAGTGTGAACTTTCTGAGCTCAACTCTTCTCATTAGTATGTGACAGTGCCAGGAGATACTTTGATCCAGAAGGCTAGATATACATGCTGTATGCCATAAACACATTTTAGTTTTAATAACAATCCAAGAGGTTCAGCATATTGCTTAATAAAAGATCAATGCAGTAATATGATTAACCACTCTGTGTTGTATTCTTTCCATTTGTGAGAAAAGATAGTTCGGGGCTGCAATGCAGTGAATAGCAAAATGACTAATTGACAGGCAAGATGAAGGTTTTCCTAAGGGTTTTTTCTTCCTCCCCACCCTCAAAGCTTTCTTTGTTGTTAGAATGCTGTTAACTCTTTTGTTTAGGGTCTCTTACCTTTAAACAGGCTTGTGGAAGAGCTTTTCATATTTTTAGCAGTAGATTTACTTGCTGAGTAAATATAGCTGATGAAAGAAAAGCTGGTGATCCATAAAAGACCAGGCTGCAGGGATCCTCATTAATCTTCCAATAGTTTTTGCTGTCATTCCTCTTTAAAGTTCCTCCTTGCCTTGTAAAGTGTTTGTGGAAAACGTAGGAGCCTTCTACTAAGCAGTGATTTCCAGCCAGATCCCAACAAAAGCTCCCACTCCCTTTCAACTGGTTTTAACTTCAACTGTGTCATTGGGAAAGGTTCTCAGTTGTGAAAGGGGAAACATTGTTTAACTGAGTTTTACAAAGGGAAGACAAAGAAAAAACCAATTTTCTTGTTATCTGATGTTATCTGACAACATCACTAAATGCATAAGTAGGATACAATGATAAAATAAATTTTAAAAAATAAAATATATTGAAATTTAAAGAAGAGACTGTCCTTTGGAAATCTTGACTTCTCTTGCAGAGATAATGAAGCATACATATGGCATGAAATTGAGAAAGTTAATATAATTAGCTGTGATGGATTATGGTAAAATCATGAGAATACCAGGATGGAGGCCTACAGTTTAGAAGCTTTAGAATTAAATTTTTTTTTAGAAAATTTCAAATTTGGGATTGCTGAGCTGATAGTCTCTCATCAGGGCTCAAAGCATGGTCTGCTTCTCCCAAGGGTTGTTAAACTGGCTCATGTTCAGATTATCTCTCCTATCCTCTCCAGCATTTTAGTGCATCCATCAGATATGCTACCAGTAAGTCTTTAGCTCAGGGAGTTACTGAATCATGGTTTGGGGTGGAAGGAACCTCAAAGATCATCAATTTGCAACCCTCTTCCCAAGGATAGGGGAACCTTCCATTAGACCATTTTGCTCCAAGACCCTTCCAACCTGGCCTGAAACACTTCCAGTGATGGGGCATCCACAACTTCCCTGGGAAACCTTCTCAAGTGTCTCATCACCCTCACAGTAAAGAACTTCTTCCAGATATCTAATCTAAATCTACCCACTTTCAATTTAAATCCATTCTCTCCTTGTTTCATCACTATTTAAAAGACACTTAAAAAAAGCCTCTCCAGCTTGCTTGTAGGTCCCTTTTACTTACTGGAAAGCTGGTATAAGGTCTCTCTGGAGCCTTTCCTCCATGCTAAATAGCTCCAAACCAGCTCCTTCTCTTGGTCTTCATAGGAGAGAGAGGTGCTTCAGCCCTCTGATCATCTTTGTGGCCTTCCTCTGGTCTCACTCCAACAGGCCCATGTCTTCTTTCTTGTTGGTCCCAGAGCTGGTCACAGCACTGCAGGAGGATTTTCACAAGAGCAGAGTAGAGGGGCAGGATCCCCTCCCTCACCCTGCTGGCCACACTGCTTTTGATGCAGCCCAGGACACAACTGGCCTTCTGGGCTGCAAAATGCAGATTGCTGGGTCATGTTGGTCCTCTCATCCACCAGCACCCCTAGTCCTACTCAGCAGAACTGTCCTCAGAAAAAGTCATATAGAATAATTCAAGCTCTTTCATGGACAAGAGAGAATGGAATCAGATGGCTTAAAAGCTCCTTTGGTTCAAAAGGTAAGAAAAAATACAAAACACCAAAATTCTACCAGTTTGCATCAGACTAAGGGGAAAAATTTTTTTTTGCTCAGGGTAGGGGAAGTGAGATACAATCTTAGATAGTATCTCCAAATTTTCACTAGGATGGTGAAAAGGCTTTGAGAGAGAACATATTTCTGGTCCTCTTTCAACTGTATTTGGCACACTTATTTTCAGAGCTGTGTGAAAGTATTTTAGTGGATCAATTTTTCTAAAAAAATTTAAAGCCTTAGGGAACTGGAAAATATTTGATCTTGGATTAAGTTTAATAAATATTCTTTTGTAAAGCAAAAAAAAAAAAAATCAAAAAAAGAAAGAAGAGAATGGGAAACACTAAAATATTCTGGTTCAACATCCCTGACAATCTTTTCTTTTGATGTAAGCATCACTGAGAAAATCAAGAGAATCCCCTTACAGTAGAAGTGGGGATACTTGTTTCTGGTAACCCTACTCCTGAAGCCTTCTCTGGTACCATGAAGGCCAAATTTTTGACTTGTTTTCTTTTGAATTGAAGCAGAAACACAATTTTGTGAATACTGGCAGTCAATCACTGTTTCTCCAATCTCCCATGTTACAGTTTTTCTGTTTTTTTGTGTAGTGCTGAGATTATCATCAAGGAACAATCTAAAATTTAAGAAGCAGTTTTTATGTGGCTTAGATTCATACTATTAAATGACAGTAATTTTGTTTAAACCATCATCTAGAATCTGTCTATAGTTAATGTCAGGTCAGCAAAGCAGTCTTAAGACCTATCTAAGGATTAGTTTGAGCTCTGAATCGTTCTCTGCTCATGGTGAAGGGAATTAAGTTTATTACCTAAAACTTTGTGTCTCTATGGAAGTGGGCCAAGGTTGAGTGATTGAATCCCTGATGGGGCATCTGCTTTTCTAGCAAATCCCAGACTTACTTTCATTTTTATTTTGTGACCTAGTGAATATTTATTTATTTATTTATTTATACAATTTGCAATAATTTAAAAAAGGCATAGAAAAACACAGCTTTAAATGAAGAACTTACATTCTTCTAGGAGAATGAAGATGTTAAGAGGAAAAAACTCCCAAATACCCTGAAGGAAATATTTGTTCTAGAAAAAACTAAGTGTTAATTTGTCTCTGAAATTTGATTTTAGTATCATTGAATTATCTGTACAAGCTATCTATCATTATCCCCAATGCTATAAAATGAGATTATATAATAAACACGCTAAGATAATAATGTGTTCAAGAGATGCTTAATAGATGTATCTATCTTTGGTAATATAAAATAATGATTTTCTATTATTTGGCCTTAAAGTGATCTGGAAATCTGGAAATTTTCCTACAGAAAATAAGTCATATCAGTTAGATGCAGCAAATATTTGGGGTTTTACAAGTAAGCAAGCCCTCAACAGCTACAGAAATGGCTCTGTGGCTTATTCAGTGTATAGGTCAGCCTTAGACAGATGGCTAGTCCCTGGGAAAGCCTTCTACAGTGAGTTACAGGACTGCCTGGGGCAAGCTCTCTTCATGGAAATGAGCTCACCTATTCTTCCATTCCCAGATTCCTCATTCTTGGAAACACCTGTTCCTTAACCTGGGGCTTCTTAGCTCGAGAGAGTTACTTCAGCTCCTTCCTTTGTAGCCTTGACTTTGTATATATATCTTTGCCTGCTGGGTAGAGATGGAGGGACCTTTCCACCAGGGAAGAAGGCATTCACTCTCTGTGGT